TATTTAAAACTGAGCTGAGTGTCGGATGTTCAGGCTGTAATTTTTAGCAACGATGTGTAAAAGTGACTCAGCTTGTCAGTCAGTACAACAGCTTTTCAATTTCATCCACTTTAACTTAAGCTGTGTGAACGCTTAAATGAAAGTGGAAGTAAGCCTTTTATACCTCACAGATTTTGTTATTAAGTACCTCCTGAGTTTTATGTAATGTGAAACACGGGTACTGTTGCAAGATTGCATATGATATGATAAATGCAATGAATTAAAAACTGTTTATTTATCTTTTTTTTTTTTTTTTTTAAAGGTAAAATCTTATATTTGGATTTTCAACTCTTCTACTCAGCCAATTTAACGCAAATTCGTGTTTGCGATGATCATAAGTATAATAGTTCACAATTATATTTTCAAAATTTGAAAACTTTTTTCCACTTTTACTTAGCATTGAACTTTTCTTACATATTTTCCCTGAAAATTAAAACTACTGATTGCAGAATTCTGATATTTTTTCATTTTGCATACTAAGATAGATCAAAAACTATTCTTGCAAAGGACATTTTTTGGGAGTGTAACGTCGTCAGCTATTTTCCCACGGACTCCCATGAAGTCTGGGAAAAGGAGACTTCAAATGGGCGCCAGATGACAACCCTGATGACACTTACGAATTCTTGAGGTCGAACGTGACCCCCAACAAAGTGCGGAAAGCATATTGTTTTTACGAAAGGAGAAAACTTTCATACAAGTTCTCACGGGTTGTGGAGTGTCCATTGTGTGTATGCGATAGACTGTCGCCAACTGCCTGTTTCTCGAAATAATTTAGATAGACCTCCCAAAAAGACGTTCTGAATTTTCCCACGGAAAATTTCAGTTTCTCAGGCTGTCAAGACAGTATCTGAGAACAAATCAGCGCCTGTTAACCAATGGAGAGATGCTCCGAAAAAGACGTTTAGCGAATCACTGCAGCAGACGCACAAGACACGCCCAGAAAACCTGGACATAAAAACAGTGAGTGAAAATAATTAGAGAGATTTTTTAGTCTGAAGTATACGCAGTCGGTGCGTAGAGAAGAGAGAGCCTTTCTCTTGTATTTTACGGCTCTTCCCGAGTCGCTAGTAAGCTTTAGAGAGCCCCTTTCTCTCTTGTGTATTTTTTACGGCTCGTCCCGAGTCGCTACTAAGCTCTGTCAAGAGCGGAAAAAGAAAACTCTCAAAGAAGCGTAGCCGGACTTTTTCTCCGCTACCTTTTTGGACGACTTTGTTTGAACTCAAGTGATTATCGTTTCCTATTGTAAACGGACTATTTGCTAAGCAAACTACTTTGTTATGATAAGCAGTTGAACTTACCTTAAAATTCAACTTGTGTAATTTAACACCCTTCAGTTAAATAAATATTTTATTTACGCTACCCAAAATAAAAATCTGACTGTTCTCAAATCGCTACAGCTAGAAGGTATGTGTTAATTGGTGGCAGCGGTGGGATCGTAAAAACCCAATAGACAAACAAAGACGTGATCGTTTTGGAGAACCGTCCCGGTTCTTATCTTCATTCAGAATCAGCCGATTCTAGCAGTGGAAAAGAATTCTTTCGCAGTAAAGTTTGGAGAGTTTAACCAGCAGCTGAAAAGGGATCATCGATGAGAAGCGTTCGTGAAGAATCAACTACTACAAAGACTAGTTCCGGAAGTGCCTGGGAAAGAGTGTGAAGTAAAATTCTCCCTCGGGTGTAAAGACAAGACATAAGAAGTCCAGACAAGAGTGAAGTGTTGTGAATTCGCGTTTGGTGTTTACCACCCTCTGTGCAGTGAAAGTGCTTTTGGTGTTTAGTGAAAGAAGAATCGCCCAGTCGACTATTGTTCAATTGGTTTCCTTCTTCGGTCATTGAATCGCGTGTGCAAATAGAAAAGAAAGGAAAGAAGAGCTGTTATTTTTTTTTTGTCTGCAATGGGTAAGTTGATATGGCATTATCTTTTTAAAGAGGCATTTTAATGGAGTTTGTCTTTTGTGTATCGAAATTATATGTTTAAATGGTTACTCGTAAATGTTTTGTTTTTGATGAGTAGAGAATTTTATAATAGTATTTTCAACCTTTAGAAAGCACGCATCAGTTGTAAATTGAGTCAATAAGTATTGCTCTTTGTGACTAATTTCTTTTGCCATAAATTTATTTAATAAGTATTTAGCAATTTTTTTTTTATATACTGCATTAAGTATGGTTATGTGTTAAGCTGCAACAGATTATTTAAGAAATGCTTAATTTACTTTAATTTTTTTTCCTATGTTGCTAATGGTACGTATTTTATGTCATACATACCATAAATTGCATTGCTATGTTGTTTTACTGTAGTATTTCTGGATAGTGTGAAACTTTCAGAGTAGACAAACTGGTACCTTTAGTTTTATTTTATTGTATCATTTTAAAATTTTGTCACTGGCAAAATGTCATATCTTGGCAAGGGTAGAAAGCAAGACCTCATAAATCTGTCTGTAGAATTAGGTCTAGAAGTTCCCCCAAATGCAAAAAATACAAGATCTTAAAAACCTCATTGTACAGAGCCCTCAGTATGACGAAAAATTCGTCGAGGCAACACTAGAGTCGATTATCGAAGCGCGAATCGAACAACATAGACTCGAAGAAGCCGAAGAGCGTAAACTTGAAAGGGAAAGGGAGAGAGAATTTGAATTAGAACGTCTAAGGTTGACAAACGCCAATAATGGCAGAGAAAATTCTCAAAATAATATTCCGAGATCTATGAGAGATTTGCAAAATTTAATGCAGAGATATAATCCCGAATCATCGGATATTTCGCTTTACTTAGCGATGTTTGAGCGTCAGGCTCGCAAAGCGAAGGTAGAGGAAGGAGACTGGGTGTCACATTTGATGGCTCTATTGCCAATGGACATTGTTTCTATTATTCTACGAGAGCCGGAACAGGAGCTAGATAATTACTCCTACGTAAAGAAAATTCTTTTGCAGCGGTTTAAGTTGAACCCAGAGGCGTTCCGCGTCAAATTTGTTCAACACCAGCGTCGTGCGGGTAGTTTATATAAAGACTTTGCTTTTGAGTTAAAAAACTATCTAGATGAATGGTTTAAACGGAGTAGACGTACGAGATTTTCGATGCGCTAAAAGACTTAATGTTGACGGATCAAATTAAACGTCGAGTAAAAAACAGCGAAATTCGCGAACACTTCGTGGATGAGTGGCCGAGTATAATATCTTCTGCCGAACTAGTGAAGAAATTAGATGAATATGAAGCAGTACGAAAGTCCGTAAAAAAACCAACAGGTTTTACTAAAAATACCGAACAGGATTCAAATATTAAAGAAAGGAAAAAAGGAGAATTTTCAGATCGAGTACGTCGCCATGATAATGTTTCGAAAGAAAAAACTGCGGAGAAATGGAAGTCAAGTGTTTTCGAACAACGGAGAATACCTAGATGTTATGAATGTAATTCAGATAGCCATCTCCGACCTCAGTGTTCTCGGTTAAAAAGACAAGAGGCCGCTGAAGCTGTAAACAAACTAGGCACGTTTCAGGATCTCCAGATACATGGCTAGCTCCCTATATGAGTATAGCGAGAGTAAATAATCGAGAAATGCCTGTACTCCGAGATACTGGCTCCACTATCGATCTGATCGGATGGGACCAAGTAACACATCAGATGCTTCTAGGAGAGACAGTGTGGGTTAAGCAGCCGCTAGATTTACATCCCTGGTGTTTACCCTTGGCTCGAATTGAATTAGAGGGAGAGGACTTTGGGAAAGTCATTACTAAAGCCGCAGTGATTAGCTCCGACCTGAATCAAGAATATTATCTGCTGGGAAATCGAACAGCCCGATTGATAGAACAGAATAAAATGCAGCCCCATAAAATCAATGCTGTTATGACTCGCAGTCAAACGAAAGCTTGCAGCAGGAAAGAAAATTCCCCTAGCCAAGGTCCAGAGAACAACGAAGTTGAGCGCCCCGCGGGGCGAATGAATGACGAGGAGGAGGGTGAAATTTTCCCCGTCCAGTCAGCTAACGTCCGAGGCAAAGAAAGGGTGAAGTGTCCTCACCGTTCGGAGAACAGGTCAAGAAATGGACAAATCAAGATAACAAAAGCGGTCATTAACCCACGAAGTGCATGGACTTCTTTAGATTTACGAAGAAAGCGAAACATTTCTAAGAAAAAAACGCTGGTCCGTCAGGACGAATTTTTGTCTGGAATCCCGGAAGAAAGAACTCGGAAAGAAGTGCAGGAAGACCCCCGGAGCGTTTCCATTCACAATGTGCTGTTCGGAAATCTGAAACTGAACATCGAAATCGAACAGATCACTGGCAAAGTAGTTTCAAGATAGAAACACAAAATATTTAGCCGTAAGTGGGAAACCCACAGACATAATGAAAGCTCATAGGTGCGAAAACGCACCAAATAAATTGAGATTTTATCTGAATTAGGTACCAATAGGAGCCAACAACTTGTTTGAGTACAATAATTTTTTTTGTTTGTCTTGTGTATTGTAGTACTTTGTATTTGTATATTGAGTGTTGATCCTTTTAGAATTACTTAGGATTTATTGTGTTCCTTAGCTTTATAGTACAGTTGCAGCCTTGCAACTTTGAGGTAGTTTACCGCCCAGGCAAATTGAATAAAAATGCTGATGGGCTGAGTCGTTTCGAATCGGGCGAAACATAGAGTGTAAAGAGGTGATCATGCCAGTTTCTTATCTGAATAAGTATTTTGTATACAGTAAAAAAGTGTAATATAAGAAATATATCATCAGTTATTTTGTCCCTTTGTTAAGAATATTTGTGATGTGTATGTGTATATATATGTGTGTGTGATTCTGATTTTAAATATTCCATTAATTCTCGCCTCTAAAGTTAATGCCTTATTGACTTATATATGAACTTTTCAATAGTGACATTACTAGTACTGTTATTAATCAATGTAGCTGTGTTCCTGTAAAGGTGTGTTTGAAAGTGTTATCGAGAGAACAGTTTATTTTGTGTCATTTTTTAAGTTAGTGAAATGATGAGGAGAACTTTCCTCTTCGTTTCAACTCGAGAAAAGTTCTTCCGAAGGGGGAAGGAATCTATAGCTGTAACGTCGTCAGCTATTTTCCCACGGACTCCCTTGAAGTCTGGGAAAAGGAGACTTCAAATGGGCGCCAGATGACAACCCTGATGACACTTGCGAATTCTTGAGGTCGAACGTGACCCCCAACAAAGTGTGGAAAGCATATTGTTTTTACGAAAGGAGAAAACTTTCATACAAGTTCTCACGGGTTGTGGAGTGTCCATTGTGTGTATGCGATAGACTGTCGCCAACTGCCTGTTTCTCGAAATAATTTAGATAGACCTCCCAAAAAAGACGTTCTGAATTTTCCCACGGAAAATCTCAGTTTCTCAGGCTGTCAAGACAGTATCTGAGAACAAATCAGCGCCTGTTAACCAATGGAGAGATGCTCCGAAAAAGACGTTTAGCGAATCACTGCAGCAGACGCACAAGACACGCCCAGAAAACCTGGACATAAAAACAGTGAGTGAAAATAATTAGAGAGTTTTTTTTAGTCTGCAGAATACGCAGTCGTTGCGTAGAGAAGAGAGAGCCTTTCTCTTGTATTTTACGGCTCTTCTCGAGTCGCTAGTAAGCTTTAGAGAGCCCCTTTCTCTCTCTTGTGTATTTACGGCTCGTCCCGAGTCGCTACTAAGCTCTGTCAAGAGCGGAAAAAAAAAAAGAAACCCTCAAAGAAGCGTAGCCGGACTTTTTCTCCGCTACCTCTGTTTGAACTCAAGTTATTATCGTTTCCTATTGTAAACGGACTACCTTGCTAAGCAAACTACTTTGTTATGATAAGCAGTTGAACTTACCTTAAAATTCAATTTGTGAAATTTAACACTTACCTTATTTACGCTACCAATAATAAAAACCTGACTGTTCTAAAGTCGCTACAGGAGTTTCTAACAATTTACTGAATTTAGGTGATTTTTGAAATATTCACCGATTTTTTAGCTGTCTTGCGTTTGTAACTGTGACGTCGATTTATTCTTAACGCTATCCTTCATTCTTAGCGCCCACCAGCGGCCGAGCGGTAAAGACGCTGAACACTGGTAGTTCGATCCGAGGTTCGAATCCCGCGAACGGGCTGGCTGCATGGGCGTTTTCGTGGTTTTCCCCATGTGTAACGTGTATACGAGCCAGTTTACCTTAGAAAGTCCTCCACGAAAGTCATCCCTCCCCTTAGGCAGATAGCCCTAGTGTGCTTTGCCATAATTAAATACACACACACCCTTCATTCTTAGCAGCCTACGATTTTAAGTGACTGTGAAGATAGATTTGTAAATCGAATAGAAATCTGAATATACGTAACGTAGTTTTACATCATCAGATCCATCAAAAGATCTTAAAATAAAGGTGATATCACGTATTTCTAAGTTGATTAGAAGAAATAATTTTCTTACTCTCAGTGGCAGTGATTTTCTTTCATTATTGTTTTCCTTTAAAAGAATAAAATATATATTAAAAAAATTGAAATTAAGCTGCTTGAATATGATTAAAAATATGGGTCACATGGGATTATGAATATGTATTATATAGGATTAAAAATAAAATTGTGGATTTCTCTAAAACATTTCACCGAGACATTAACAGAACTTTAAGGGATGATAAAACTAAAAGCGCCAAAACACTATCAACTTTAATTATGCATTGAAACTTTAAAATAAATCACCAGTTCCTGCAGAAATGTTTTTTTCCCTGCAGGAAAAACTCCAACTAAATTTTTTAATGAAGAATTTTTAGATAATAAAAGTATATTTTTAAAACTTGAATAAATCTCACTAATCTCGTTTTATTTGCTTTGGAATGCTAGCCTGTAAATAGTTACTGCAGGCTCATTAATGAAATACTGGTTCTTTATCTTATTGCTGAAAATATGTTTTCTTCAAGATTTATCCATAACTTTGAATGAAGAATTCACACACTGATGCATTTCAGAAAAAGAAAAACATATTTATTATAACCCATACCAGATTATGAAAACTGCAAACAATTATATCCATTCCATCTGGAGTCCCAAACACTTTAGTGAAATTTAGATAATATATGAGTTTAAATAAATGTCAAACATAAAATGTAGCGTCAATATTCCTGATTTTCAGAATCCTTGAGTTTTGATTTGTAGTCCAAAATATTCATTTAAAATAAATATAATGTAAAATCTGGTCAGAATTTATCATAACAATGACTAAAACATCCAGAATTAATCATGGGAAAGCATTTAAAAAATACCTGTAGGGGTTTATTGTGTAGGAGTTAAATCAATCGCATTCACACCATAGTAAACTGGCAAGCGTATTATCGCTCCATCTATTATTAATATGGCAAAGCCCCGAGAAGATTAAAATAACGATTTCATTAAATCCTTAAATTAAACTGAAGACACCCCATGTGAGTATAAATAACCTCCACCACTTCTGAATATTTAATTAAAAATAACAGAAGTTGAAAATTAAATTCAACTTTAACAATTTAAGTATGGTAGTCAGAGATTACACAAGTTGGCCTGTTTAAGCTAGCTCAATAGTTTAATGCCGCGTTTTAATGTCGGCTACAGAAATGGTTAAAGCCGGGGTATTTACTGGCAGAGCTGGTGATTAAACGTAAATTGTGGTCGACGTTGTCAAAAGCTCCTACCTCAAAGCATTCAAAACCCTCTGCTTAAATATTTTAGCACCTAATTTGCATTCTGGTGAAGACTGCGGAAAGGAGAAGTTATGGTGAATGTTTTAAATCATAATAATTGGTTAATTAACATAAAATATCTTGTATGTTAATTAACTTAAATAACAAACTAAAATAAAAAAAAGTTCTAAATTTATTAAAATAATGAATAAAACTTTTTTAATTTATCATGGAAAAGTATTTTCAAATAACTGTATATCAAAAAGTTTAGAGTTGTTTATAAAAATGAGGGCTCAACTAATAATGAATTAAAAATTCAGAAGGATTTATGATGATCCTCTTCAAATAGCAATGAACGGAAACTCAGTCTTAATAACAAAAATGTACAAGCAACGAAACACTTTTAATTAAAAATCCTCATGTTAATTAATAATACTTCTGAAACTATTAGGAATTTA